TGCTTGTTTAATGAACCATAAACAATTATTGCACATGCACCTGTGGAGCAGTCCTTAAAGGGACACTCCACTTTTTTTGGAACTAGGCTCAATTTACAACTCCCCCAGAGTTAAACTGTTGGGTTTTACCGTTTTCGAATTAAGAGTCAAGCAGGGCTGATTATTAAAGTGGTTCATCATGCCCACATTATCATCTCTGTTTCTAGCAAGTTGATGCCTACAGGGGAACATGAGACAAGAGGATTAGATGTCAAGTTAAAGTTATAAGTAAATATAAGACTTTGATTCAAAAGTCATATTAAAATAAAGTTCCATTAAAGTAAAGTATGTTTGCCATAGTTTTTGAGTAAAAAGGATTAAAGACAATTTTATCTTATTAGTGGTTACATGTTGAAGTTTTTTTTGTACAATTTTATAATCATATTTTTGGCCTAAAATGACCAGAAGAATAACCTTTCTTGAGAGTTGATTAGAAGATTGTAGGTGGTGTGGTGATGGCGCAGTGGATAAGACACATGCCTTTGGTGTGAGAGACCCAGGTTCGAATCCACTGCGAGACACCAATGTGTCCCTGAGCAAGACACTTAACCCCTAGTTGCTCCAGAGGTGTGCGACCATATATAGCAATTCGCTTTGGATAAAAGTGTCACCTAAATGAATAAATATAAATGTACTCTCGGTTCGGTGGACGAAAAGAGTATTCGATGTAAAAATGAATTCTGTGAAAGGTTATTCTGAAAATTGATCTAGCCTATCTATATATTTATGATTGATTAATTATCCATGTATAAAATGTATTCCCTTTTTGGGTGATTTGTAGTAGAATATGTAGGCAACAATTGATCATAACCAGTATGATTAGTTATAAATTATATATTTCCCTTTTTGAGCTAATTCGCTGCAGCACTGATAGTGGAAATGTTCAATACATACTATATTGATACGTTATATAGGCTACTACTACTTTAGGTCCTGCAAAGCATCTCATCCTCATGGACTGATTTGCCAGCTCCCGCTGTGAGATGTTCCTCCATTCTTCCACCAAGGCATTTGCAAGTTCTTTCTTACTGTAGCAATGTCTTATGTATCATGACATTACAGTTTATTGCTCTGTTCACATCTGCAGTTCTCATGTCTCTTGCAGCAGGACTGTGGTAGTTCACAAATGTGATCAGTACCCTGGCCATCTTTCTCCTGGTGTTTCGATATTTTGAAGAATACCAGTAACCAGACAGTTTCTGGTCCCATTGACTTCCATAGCAGGAAAAAACATGTATACTATGGAAGTCAATGAGACCAGAAACTGGTTACTGATATTCTTCTAAATATCGGAAAATCGGCTGGTAGAGTTGCAGCAAATTAAACAGCACACTACGCATACAGAACACCTGCAACACACTGAGCACTGGATTCTCATTCTTCTGTTTCTACTTGGACTACTCAAACTCCTCTTCAAACAACTGTACCTTTCACACTGAAACAATAAAGATTGAAAATGAATAGAATTGACAGTTTCCACTTCATTTCCCCTCTAATCTATTTGAAGGTTTGACAGCAGCAGATTTATTCATTGCTAGCGGATAGTCAGGGGCAGCAAAGCAGAAAATTGTCCTCCTCGTCCCTCAACGTGAGTCATAGCAGCTTCCTCATCCAGATGATGTGACCGCAAATCTTTTATAACAAGGTTACATGGTCAAGAGAGCTTAAACTCAAAGTGCTCTCATGATCTATTCTGTGGAGATTATTGGATTAACCCATTCATTTCCCTTTCTGACAATAAAGGTACCTTCAAATCAATCAGTCAGTCAACTCGCTTGTTAAATCATGACGTACTGTAAGAATACTGTTTTGGGTACAAATTGCTAATCCTTTTAATTGAGAACACTATTTAAACAGCTGTTTATTAGCACTATTTATACAACATACATTTAATCTATAAGCTTGACATTACTCATTGAGTAGCGTACACAGTCTCTTGGCTGACAGACACCAATATTTTTACAATTCAGTGAAATAGGTAACAGTAAATCTGTTTTACTGTATACGCCTGCCCATACCATAACTCCACCGCCACCATAGGCCACACGATCCACAACGTTGACATCAGCAATCTGCTCACCCACACAAAACCATACACGCTATCTGCCATCTTCCCTGTACAGTGAAAACCGGGATTCATCCGTGAAGAGAACACCACTGAAGTCAGTAACGACAACAAACTGCAGTCAGTTCGAGACCCCGATGAGGACAGATGGATGCAGATGAGCTTCCCTGATACGGTTTCTGACAGTTTTTGCAGAAATTGTTTGGTTATACAAACCGATTGTGGCTGCAGCTGTCCGGATGGCTGGTCTCAGATGATCTTGGAGGTGAAGATGCTGCACTCTCAGAAAAAAAGGTACAAAAGCTGTCACTTGGACTGTACCTTTTCAAAAGGTACACTTTTGTACCCAAAGGCTGCATATTGGTACCTTTCTGGTACATATTAGCACCTAAAATGTACATATTAGGGCCTGAAATGTACATATTAGCACCTAAATGGACATATTAGCACCTAAAATGGACACATTACCACCTGAAATGTACATATTAGCTCATGAAATGGACATAGCACCTAAAATGTACATATTAGCACCTAAAAATGTACATATTAACACTTAAAATGTACACATTAATACCTAAAATGTACATATTACCACCTAAAATGTTCACATTAGGGCCTAAAATGTACATATTGGCACCTAAAATGTACATATTAACACCTTAAAATGTACATATTACCACCTAAAATGTACATATTAGGGCCTAAAATCACCTGAAATGTACTTAATAGCACCTAAAATGGACAAAAGTTTACTTTTTAAAAAGGTACAGCCCCAGTGACAACTTTTGTACCTTTTTTTCTGAGAGTGTGGATGTGGAGGCCTTGGGCTGGTCTGGTTACACGTGTTCTGTTCGATGTAATGCCAAATTCTCTGAAATACCTTTGGAGACAGCTTATGGTAGAGAAATGGACATTTAATTCACGGGCAACAACTCTGGTGGACATTCCTGCAGTCAGTATGAACGAATGTGTTTGGGATGAAACCAGTGGTAGAAGACTTTGTGCTGGGTGGAACCAACAGTGATGAAGAAGAGTTGGAGTTGGGCGGAGATCAGCAGTGATGAAGAAGGCATATTGATCAACCAATGAACACAAGCTAGCAATCATGACAACCGAAGAGAAACAAGGAAAATAGTGAGATACAAAATGAAATTAAAACCACTACTGAACGTTACAGACTTGACCCTGTGGAGGTCTGTGCGTTCCTCTGGACAGCAAACAGCTGGACAGACACTGGCTGGAGGATAAACCATGTGACAGGAACCCTGCGGCTCTAGTGCCAAATCATGCAGATGAGCTGATGCTTCCTGACCTGAAACAGCCAAAACGCTCGTACTGCAGACGTTCCATCATCTCCTCAAAGTCTGTTCAGATCCTGCTCCTGGAGGCTCCAGAGTTTAGCTCCAACCCCAAACAATCACTAGAACCTGCTAACCAAGGTCTTACCAAAGCCACTTGACATCATCACGTGACTTACATCACGCCTGCTAACGCTGCAGTATGCAGGGAAGGAGACAAGAGGCCATTTTTCTTAATAGATGTTAATGGAGGAGAGGCTGAATAAACTGCTTTTGTGAGGAAAAAGCTTCATCAGCTAACCTAAGCTTCATCAACTAACCTAATCATCAATATGTTTGCTCCTAAACATTTTTTATTTATTTATATAATTTACAACCCAAAAAAGTGATTGACTGTTGAATTCTGAACGAAATGGGGTCAAGGCTGTAATGTGATTGGTTATCAAAGCTCACATGTGGAATCTTAGGTTCACAGCCAGATGCCTAAGTGCAATATGCTTTGTTTCCATTATGTCTGTTCACATTTATCTGTTATATGTTGTGTTAAATACTCTGCATAGTTTTACAAGTCATCTTGGGCAAGTGCCATTGCAGGACTGTGCTGTAGCCACTGTAAAGATGTCCCACATTTCCCGCCTTGGAGGACTTGATATTAAATTCTGTTTAGTTATATGTCTGTGACAGTCATTTTTTTCTTCTTGTAGAAATGTGTGAGTTGTGTCATTTTAACACAGACCACTCTTTCAACCATAAACAAAATGGCTTCTTAAAATCCATTTACTGAATCCCTCCCTGAATAACATCCAAGCTTTAAGAACTTTCTTTGTTTCAACACAAACTGATTATGAGGTGATTGTGAGTTGGGTCTATAAGTTTCGTTTTCAGTTGACTTTCTGTTTTGGAAAGTTAGTTTCAATTTTTCATCAGCTTATCAACAGTGGCACCTATTGGCCAGAATGTACATCTATCCTTTAAATTTTCAGTTGTATCAACAGCATGGCTGAAACCAGTCCCAGACTAAAATGTAAATTGCATATTTGAGATGTTTTAACTGAAAGCAAATTGCACTTACATATCTTAAAAGTGATATTGTTTTGTCTCAAGATGCACACCATAATGTTTTTTATTAAGGCATGTTTATAAAAGCTATGTAGATATTTGGCTTAATCTAAACCCTGTCTATAAAAAAGGCCTAAATTATCTAAACTTACTAAATTAATTTCAAATATTGCAAAACTTTTTATTGCCCTTTGACTATATATTATGATACACATATTTTGGTGTTTATATGTTGAAATAAAATATATTTTCAATTTATACAACTATAAATAAATATAATATAACAAATATTTGAGTATCTGTTTCACCAGTTGTATTAATCAACAGATAAACAAACTAAGCAAACAACATTCATTCTAGTATGAACCATAGGGTATGAACTAGCAAACAAATCAGTTTTTTTAGCTATAATGATATTCAGATTTTGATATAATGATGTTAATGATATAATGATAATGAGTTTAAGAAATGTAGAGGGCGCTGTTTCTCGTGTTGTCCCTCAATCGTTATCATATGCCTGATCTATGAGTCGAGTGGGTGTCAACAAACTCGATACAGTCAAAAACCCGACAAACTACCGAAACTTAGCAGTGACCGATTGGACACACAACAAATCAGCGTGACATGGAGCCTACAAATTTACAGGTAAATATACCTGTTCAGAAATCATCAATAAATGTGATGGCAATGTGAATTCATCAAGTGTTATGATTTGTAATGCCGTAATCATTTTCTTCGTAAAAGTCTAGAAACCACTTTCTCATTCACCACTCTCGCAACCATGTTCATTGTTTAAGAATAAAGTTGAAGTTGGAGTAATATAAGATATCTTTGAGTACGCAGTTCAACTTAATGACAGTGGATGTGTTTCAAAACCTAGTGAGTTGCCTGTTTAGACAGCAAATAACGTTAACTATTAGTAGTTTCGAAAGCTCATAGGATGCCTTCAAATGCTGGCAAAGGCAGACAGGCACCTAGGCAGCTTTATATTTTTTGAGCGGCGACCATACTAACTCTGGATATTATTGACATATCGAGATATCAGGAACAATTTTGCTGTTTGAGTGTGACGATTACATGAAACGCATTTTCAAAACGCCACTCATCCCCGAAATTAAACATTTCTAAAGAGCTGGTTGCCATATTCACTGGTGAATTTAACAGCATTTTCGTGTGTTTTCATTATTTTCATCTAGTAAATCATTACACGGGCACATTTATTAATATGATATTCAATATAATGATGCCAAGCCACTTGACATTTATGTCTTGTTACATTTGAGATTTTTAAATAAATAATAATCTGAATCTCTATAAGAATCATAATAATATGAATTCATTATTATTCACTTATGTGCCTTATCAGATTCATTATAATTTTAATACCTATTAAAGTTAAGTGTCACTGATACATTTGTACTTCTAGTCACAAATCACTTCATATTATCGATTGACTCGACACAACCATGCAAGTTACATAATTGTTATATAGCATTCGTATTTAAATATTAAACTACATGCTGTGTAGTGATGCTTTATTTATGTACTCACTTTAAAATCTCTGCATAGTGTCTTAAGATGTACATACAGATCTTACTCACCTTGTGATTATGTGCAAATTGCACATGCTTCATTTCACAGAAAGCTATAGCTGTAGCCAACAAAGCTTCAAAGGAGGACCAGGATGGAAATTATGAGGAGGCTGTTAAATCGTATCAACATGCAGTGAAATATTTTCTGCATGTAGTAAAACGTGAGTGTAAAATATATAGAGTTTACAAAGGTGTCTTGTCATTTTCTTGCAAATTTAACCCCTTTTTTCCATTCATTCAGGTGAACCACAGGGTAAGGAGGGGAATCAGAAGATCAGAGATAAGTGTAAGCAGTATCTCGACAGAGCAGAAGAGCTTCAAGTCTATCTTGATAACAAAGAGGTTACTATCAATTTATCACAGTCTCTTTGTGTATTTATGAATATGTCCAAGCAGTCCCACTTTATTGTGTGACAACTTAGAAATTCTGAAGACATGATCATTTAGAAAGGTGTGCTGTTTCCTTGTTATGTACAGTCTTGATAAACTGCCTGTCTCCTGTTTAATAACAAATACTAGACACTAACACATCTTTGGTCACTAATATTACTTTGGTCAAATAGTAAAAAACACATTTTGACTAACAATTTAACTGAACACCAACAGTGCATTGAAGCATGGTGGCAGCATCATTCTGTATCATGGACTGAAAAAACATGCAGTGGGAAAATTAAGCTAAGTGAATAAAATGCTAAAGGGAAAACGATATGTGGTCTGCAAAACCACTGGACACACTAAAGTAGTTTAAAATCAAATGGAACATTTTAAACATGGCCTAATGGTAGTGCGGTATAAGGGTGGTGTGAGTTTGAATCCAACTAGCAACATTTGCTTTTCTCATTTACTGTTCCTGGAAGCCAAAATGTAGTGGGATTAGAGATCACTGTATATTAAATGTATTATATTATTATTTTTTAAACATTTGAATTTGACGTTGCTTTGATGGGGTTGTGAACTGCTTTAACCTTTGACCTCAGTCTCTAATATTTTTTTGTTTTACTGAAAGAAAGCAGGATCCATATTCTCTGTGAACTGAAATGGTCTGCAAATGAAATTATGTGATTTTTTTGTGTGATGTTTGTGTGTTAGAAAGATAAACAGCAGGCGACTCAGGACATAGCCCTGGGGGTCTCCGGTAGTGATGAGCAGGTAGGAGTCTTACTTTGTATCCTGACCGGAGTCTGTTACTTAGACAGTGACGCATTACATGCTTTTTCACCGTGGGGTATTTTTGTTGCTTTAGTTTATTTTCAGAGTGTTGGCTTTTTGTTTAGGTCTGGTTCTTTTGCAAGTAAAAAGTTTAGTCTTTGTCATCCTAATTACCCACCAGATCTGACAGCATTATCATAGATTATAACAGATATTGAAACTCAGCCATTGGTCTAGGTTGTGAGTTTCTAGTAATCCTGAAGACTTTGATTATTAGCTTGCTCCGGTGTGTTTGATCAGGGTTGGAGCTAAACTCTGAAGGACAGCAGCCCTCCAGGACTCAGTTTGAGACACCCTGATTTAGAGAAAGAATGGCAGCGGGAGTCTCTGAGGACACATCTGTGCAACAGAATCAGTTACACAGGAACAAGGTGACGGCCAAAGAAGTTTCAACAGTTAAAGGGATACTCCACTTATTTTGGAAATAGGCTCATTTTACATCTCCCCAGAGTTGAACAGTTGAGTTTTACCGTTTTCGAATCCATTCAGCCGATTTTCTGATATTTAGAAGAATATCGGTAACCAGACAGTTTCTGGTCTCATTGACTTCCAGAGTATATTTTTTTGTACTATGGAAGTCAATGAGACCAGAAACTGTCTGGTTACCGATATTCTTCTAAATATCAGAAAATCGTCTGAATGGATTTGAAAACGGTAAAACTCAACTGTTTGAGCCTATTTCCAAAAAAAGTGGAGTATCCCTTTAAGGCCCGAACACAGCATTTCTGAATGGTTCTGAATGTCACTTTGAGCCATTTTTGTATGTACTGGCAGGGTAGAGTAGTGAGATACAAATGCTGTGTGTTTACTGCTGTATAGGTTAGTTTGTTCATTGACAGATTGATGTTACAGGTCATGAACAACTTTTTTTTTCGCGATTTACAAAGATTAATATAAAGGTTAATTAAACTTTACACTCACTTCTTCTGGAGGTGCAGCAGGGACATGAATAGTTGCCACCGATTCTTTTTTCAGGAGCAGCTTCTTAGCAAATCCAGCCTTATACTGACCCTCGTTTATAAAGCGGTCAGGTGAGAAATGATTTGTGCAAACATGAAAGCATTAACGTTGCTTCGAAAACAAAACTCAGCCATGGCGTCTTCAGCGGTTGGGATTTAGGAGCATCATATTGACTGCTGTGTTCATTATTACACCCAAGACCAGAACACCACAATCGCTTAGACTCCAGCGTATCAACAATGATGGACTATGATGAGAGAATGGCTCGCTCAGGCCGGGGTGTGTTGAAACGCTGCTGTCAATCAACAATCATGGGAGGGGCGTCCGATTTAGTGACGTCATAAAATCGAATGGCTCGATTTGAGGCAGGGTAAAACATATAAGGAGATTAAAACCAAAACACTGGATGGATTTTTATCATCATTATATGATGGTTGTGTACAGGCACTGCCAACACACATTTCAGTACAATCAACTTGTAAAATGACCCCTTTAAGAAATTGCATATTAAGAAAATATAAAGGGTCTACTTTGATTTTATGTTTATTATAAGGCAGTGGATCACTTACACTTTTTATACTTTCATCATTTTGTATATCCATTGTCTTGTTATACTACATTCTATTTGTTGTTTGCTCCATAACTTGTTGTATTTTTGTTTGCTGCGGTGACTATTTGTAATATGTCACAACATAATTCTAAAAGAAATAAGCATAGCCTACAATATTCATATTATTACTAGCCTGTCATATTGCAATATAATATCTGGCAATGTGTAAGCAAGGTTATGACTCATGATGGTAGGTGACCTTTCAGTTTGACAATAGCAACACTTGTTTAAAGCTCAGTTATCTTGCTGATGACTTCAGTCTTTTTGTAGCTATCACTATAGTAACACACTAGCCTTTCTGTAGCTATCACTATAGTAACACACTAGCCTTTCTGTGTAGCTGTGAATGTTCAGATTTCTAGGATTAATACAGAAGCCAATATAATAATAGTAATGAGACTGAAGTTAGTTATCACACTTCTCAGAGTGGGCTGGGAAATATAGTTTACATTAACCACTATACGGGATATGTTGTCACATCGTAACTGGTTAACTGGTCATTAGTCTGTTATAGTCTAGAGAGCAAATGTGTCCAATCAGTTGAGGGAAAAAATGCCTGAGGCATAATTAATTAGAATTAATGTAATGTAAAAAATGTGTTTTTTGGCAAACATTACATTATTAAATTGGATTAAAAATAATATCTTCTGTTCAGATGTTTGAAAATTTGACACAATTAAAATTAGTCATTTTGGTTTTTATTGCGTTCACTTATATACCTAATAGATATTAGAAGAAGAAAAAAGCCCATAGATTATAGATTCCCTAGTCTCAGTCTCCCCAATCAATTGTTATCAAGTAACTGTAATCATTGTAAATTCAATAGTACAATCAAATGGTTGAAGATGATTTGTACACAATCTGATATAGGCTTCAGGCAGTTACACTTTCTCATGTTTGGGTGGCATCAGCTTGAGAGAATCATTTTGTTTTTACCCACAATAACAACAACTTCTATTACGTAAGAATTATTCCTTTATTTTTGTGTTCCTGAAACCAATAACCATAGGCATTTTTCCGTGTCGCGCCAAAGAGGCTTGTCTTACACCTATGACGCATGACATTTTTGGAACACGTGAGCGACGAGGCGGAAGTGACATTCGACATTTTAATGCGGAAGTTGTTTTTCCTCTGTTGTTCAACGATCCCAAAACTAATCACTAAAAAAAAACATATATTTACAGTCCCTTTTGTTTGTTTGTTAAATCGTGTTTGTGACAGTTAATATAACACTGTCTTTATATTTCCGAAACACGTCGTACGTTCTTGATCTTTTTCAGTCACTATCATGGCTACCAACAACTTACAGGTAAGTTAGCAAACAAATTAGCTCATACGTTTTCAACTGACTGCAAAAGTGTTAACTTACGGATTTAATTACGGTCAATACTAAGTCGTGAGCGATTTCTAAATTCATACGTTTGAATGCAATGATTTTGTAGTAAACATGGAGAAATGATCGCTCATCTCTTACTAGAACCCAACCCATCATGTTTTATCTTTTACTTGTTCAATTTATACACTAACAAACCTGTTATGGTAGTAATCAGGCTGAATTAATTGTACGTGAGATTATAAATGACATTTTGATCGTTAATAAGTCAGGTTAAGATCAGATGAGCTTAACTATACGGTTGGGTTTGACCATTGATTGTGTCTTGTGTGAAGTTTAGATCTAAATTAGTTCTGTATTTATGAATACGCCTATTCATTTTAGGCTCATTGTTGTGGTGAACTCCTAAGCATATAGAGGACTGATCCTTCATTTCAGTTGGTTTGAGAATGAGGGTTTGCTGAAGTGTCTAATTTATTTGCATGTACATAACTATGATTGTAATCCCCCATACAGTCAATGTTAAGACAATAAAACTGCATTAACTAACAATAATATGATATTTACCCCTCAGAAAGCTATAGATCTGGCCAGTAGGGCATCTCAGGAGGATAAGGCCGAAAACTATGGAGAGGCCCTGCGTTTATATGAGAGTGCTGTTCATTATTTCCTACATGTTGTCAAATGTAAGTATGCATCAGAAATTTGTGTAGATCATCCATCAAGAAAAATGATTTTCGCTAAGGAGAAACTATATTATTCCTGTCATATTATTTGTTTTTATCCAGACTGTAATAGTTTGTTGCTTAATAGTTACACATTCTAATTTATATAATTTAGTATGTTAAAGGAGTAGTTCAATTTAAAAAAAAAACTTTTGCTGATAATTTACTCACCCCCATGTCATCCAAGATGTCCATGTCATTCTGTCTTCAGTCAAAAAGAAATTAAGGTTTTTGAAGAAAACATTCCAGGATTTTTCTCCATATAATGCACTTTACTGAGTACCAAATGGTTCACGGTCCAAAAGACAGTTTCAGTGCAAACTCCAAACTGTTCAAATGGTTTAAAACTGTTACAAATGTTGAATAAGGGTCTTATCAAGCGAAACGATCGCTCATTAAAAAAATAAAATAAAAAAGTTTACATTTTATAAGCTCAAATGCTCGCCTTGCTCTGTTCTGTGTTGCGTGTTCGTGACTCTCCTGTTCAAACTCTCTTTTGTTTAATTTGGTTCATTCAACGAACGAAATGAATGAATTGACTTGGGAAAAGATTAGTTCATTTTGATGAACGAGTTCGAACAGGAGAGTCACGAACGCGCATCACTGAACAGAGAAAGACAACCATTTGAGCTTATAAAACTTAAACTTTTATTTTATTTTTTTAAATGAGCGATCTTTGCTCTTGATAAGACCCTTTTTCATCTTCTGGAATTGTTTAAAGCTCTTTGAAGCTGAACTGAAACTGTTTTGTGGACCTTAAACCGTTTGGTTCCCATTGAAGTCCATTATATAATAATCCTGGAATGTTTTCATCAAAAACCGTAATTTCTTTTCGACTGAAGAAAGAAAGACGTGGATATCTTGGATGACATGGATGATGGAGGTTTTTTTTAAAAAAGTGAACTACTCCTTTAAGCAGAATACATCACAACAGGGAAGGCTTTTAATCTCTTTAACTCCTTTTTTTATTTTATAATTATTTTTACAAAGATGAAGCACATGGTGATAAGGCCAAACAAAGTATCCGGGCCAAATGTGCCGAATATTTAGACCGGGCTGAAAAGCTGAAAGAGTTCTTGAAGAAGAAAGACAAAGCCCCTTCGAAACCAGTGAAGGAGTCCCAGTCCAGTGACAAAGGGTGGGTGTGACTGAATAAATACAGAAACTTATTTGCATACATTTGAAATGTGTGCTCGATTTCTGTGAATTGGCTTAATATCAAAATGACAAATATTAGACTATTGTTTCTGTGCACAATAACATAACAGTCTGATATAGTCTGAACAATAACAGTCTGAATGCCCTACTTAAAAATGCATATAATCTGGCTCTGGTAGACCCTATTTGTAAAGAGCTTCGTTAAGGCTGACTAATCGATTGGCCATTCAGATAACCCATATTTATTTAAAATAGTAGTTTTGCATATCCCTAACTGCTATTGTGTGTTCACGTCAATACAAAGATATGTTAGCAGCTACTGAGCCACATTTATCACACCTAACATTCAAATTTGTCATAGATTTTTTATTTTGTAATACATGATTTCACATTGAGTCTCCAAATTCATGTAGAAATAACATCAATATTTTATTCTATTTAGAAAATATTTATTAGGGCTGTAAAAAAGATTGTTTTAACGCACACGTCTAAAAGCAGTCTAATAAAACTGCTTCTGTGTATCATGTTGATCAAAGAACAGAAGTAAAATAGAAAATCCCTCACTGCTCTAAACTTAAACTTTAGCGGCTTTAAAAAATGTATCTATATTTAATTTAAACTGAATTGTTATAACTTTATTTAATTTATGGATATTTCATAGATATAAGATCAAATATTTAAAATATATTGTCTTTGTTGTTTCTACATTGATTTGGAGATTAAATGTGAAATTGTCGATATAAAAATATATTAAAAACTTTAAATGTTAGTTGCGATTAATTACAGAAAAATGTGCAATTAATTAGTACATTTTAATCGATTGTCAGCACTAATATTTAGTAAAAAGATGGCATTGAACAAAGAAAAATACTATGAATGAAGGCTAATATAACAGACAGCAAAACCGCTATTGATGTCTCTATTAAATGGAAGTTGTCTTGTATTTTAATAAATAAGGTTGCAATCACATTTTTTTCTCACCATTCTCGGTTCCAATTTTATACCACAACATATTAAAACTATTTGCCTAACTAATATACATTTCAAACATTTAAAAAAACAAGTAAACAATCAGCAATACAATAATAATAAATAAACAAACTACCAGCGATAGCACAAATAAATCCAATAGAAAAAATATAATGAACAGTAATGAAATAAAAAAAAATTTGTAGGTTCAGGTAATAAATACTGAAATTACAGAAAAACTTCAAAAATTGTAATGAAATATTAAATAACATTGCATGGTCTTCAATGTATGAATTAAATAATGATTATTTGAATTAAAGTAACTAAATTTAGCAAGAGCATTTTTTTTTGTTCTTTGGTTAACATTAATGAGACGAACAAAAGCAGGTTTATTAGGCTGCGGTCACTTTAAGACCTGACGCACATCCCATCTTCTCACAGCTCTTTACATTCAAAACTGCATTTACAAGAGTCCTTGTAAACAATTTCTGTGTGTTTTTTTTTGTCATATTAAGTGTAATAAGAAAAGAGAGATCTCATACCCATAGTGTCTGTAAAGCGGCTTTTTGCGCGCATTTCACATTGTGTATTTAACCCTAGGAATGAGAGCGATGGAGAAGGAGATGACCCAGAGAAAAAGAAATTTCAGAATCAACTCTCAGGTTAGTTATTCCCCATTCAGACAATTTCTTCTAAATACTACGAATTTTGTTTTTCACCTTCACAAGTAAAAACTAAGCAAAAACAGTCATTTTTTGTTAATACATTTGATGTTTCTTCATTTTAAATTCCAACAAATCTTTGTTAAAACGTATTGACTGATTCAAAGACCGTTTCTTCTGTCACAGGAGCCATTGTCATGGAGAAGCCGAACATTAAATGGAATGATGTCGCCGGGTTGGAGGGCGCCAAAGAAGCTTTGAAAGAAGCCGTCATTCTGCCAATCAAATTCCCACATCTCTTCACAGGCAAGTGGCTTTTTCCTGTCTGGATTAAGAATATAAATGAATGGGTTAATGCTTTCATGTAACACTCTGAAAGTTTTAAGTATTTAACATTCATCGATGCCTGTTTACACCTGGTATTAAGATCTGTTTCGGTTGATCGGATCACATTTATACGTGGGAAACACAATCCTGTTTACACCTGGTGTCTTTTTTTTGTCTACTTTAAACCACTTCTGTCCTGATTTCTTCCAGGGGAGGGTCTGTGGGTGGGTAAACGCATGAGTTTTTCCCAAATCTTTCGATCTAACGGATGAAATAAGCTCACACAATTTACATATGAACACGACCGTGTTCATAAAAAACGTTTTAGACCCCGTTTACACCTGTGTTTAGCGTTGTCCACTTGTGATCCGATCGACCAAAACGCATCTATCTTAATACCAGGTAAACAGGGCCTAAGTGTCTGTCTTGTGCTTTGCGCAGTAGTTTGAACCTTGTGTAAAGGGATAATTGATGGTTGTGGGTGTATCCAAAACTACAACTATAGCAATACTTCATGACGGATAATGATACAGGTTGTTTCTGTCTCAGGTAAAAGAACTCCTTGGAGGGGTATCCTTCTGTTCGGGCCTCCGGGAACAGGCAAATCTTACCTGGCCAAAGCCGTAGCGACAGAAGCCAACAATTCCACCTTCTTCTCCATTTCCTCCTCGGACCTGGTATCCAAATGGCTGGGAGAGAGTGAAAAGTGAGTCTTGTGAGGAATGGTGATGGTTACCTTTAGCTAAGAGTCTGGGAGTTTGCTAGAAAGTGAACATCTGAAATATGTTTAATATATTTGTAATAATAAGCTGTTTGTAAAGTGATATGCCATAAAAAATGAATCATCATTTTAAAGTGGCTATTACATTTTTTTGTCAACATATGCCATTTAAAATAATGGATAAAAAATGAAGTGCCTTGAAATGTGGATAATTAGTTCTTATGGCTGTATATTCAGTATAATTTTAAGGAATGATACAGAATATTGGAAATATCTACATTTCTGATTGTTGAAGTTGCTTGTCACCTGATTAAATTGTTAAAATGGTGTCACGTGATGTCTAAACGTGTCCTTTTATCCACATAGGCTGGTGAAGAACTTGTTCACGTTGGCCCGAGAGCACAAGCCCTCTATTATCTTCATAGATGAGATCGATTCACTCTGCGGCTCCAGGAGCGAGAATGAAAGTGAAGCAGCTCGCAGAATCAAAACGGAGTTTCTGGTTCAGATGCAAGGTGAGAATATGTTTTGACCGTCTGTTACAGGGATGTCAAATCCTGCTTTTGAAGAGTTTACTTCCAATGCTAATAAAACATACCACAAAGAAACGAAATGAATGAGGAAATGGCTTGTTTGTCTGAAACAGTCTGAATCAGCAGTGATGATGTACAATCACCTTATCAAAATCACTTTCATTTTTGTCTCTAGGATGTGTTTTTCAGATAGAATTGTATTTGAATGTATTAATAAAACAGATATACTGTATGTATTATACATCAATTTTTATCAATTCATATAATTTTGAATGGAAAGAATATTTTGTTGATTTTTTATTTTTTTTAATTCCCTTTTGTCATATTTAAGATTTAATCACTTTTAAATAAGTGATTAAAGAAGGTTTCATAATACTAATCCAAATCCATGACTTTATAGGTGTTGGTACTGACAATGAAGGGATCCTGGTACTGGGAGCCACAAATATCCCATGGACGTTGGATTCTGCCATCAGAAGACGGTAATAATTTGTGTCCATGAGTGACTGAATTACCATGATGAAAACTGAAAGAGATCAGTCAGAGAGGAGTGAATGAGTCTATTAGTTAAAGATTATCTCATTAAACTCTGTGCCAGTGCGACGCGTCATGTGTTGATGACATCACTCGAGTCACATCACCAAGGAACAGGTTTTTCAGGTCTTGTAGATTGTTAATGAGCCAGAAACCATGAATCAGTATGAATCATGTGGAATGTTATTATGAAAGATGTACAGGTATTTTATTTATGTAGCCTGACTTTGTCATACTCGTATTCTAGTCAGAGAATGCTCATTTGCATTTAAAGGGCCAGACACAAAACAGTGCATTTTTGTAAATCCTAAAAAAGTGACAACTTTAACATGATATATAAAAATATCTGTGGGATATTTTGTGCTAAAACTTCACAGTCACACACATACTCTGGGGACATCAGAGATTTATTTTACATCTTGTGAAAATGGCATTTTACCACCCCTTTAAACTTTTGCTGAATCCCATAGGAAGGACGTCTAACGCATCTTTCCGATCGGCAAATGCCTTGATTGCAGTTCTCTGTTCGTAAATTTAATGCGCAGACGATTTCTTCTAAAACAGACGGATAGCGGAATCTATACATCTCAATTCTCCGTCTTTGAGGGAAACCAGTTAAGCGCTCTTTGATAACGCAATGATTACATAAATATAGATCATCTGTACATCATTGTATAAAACCCGCCCTGGCAATTTGTTTGGCCCGACGATTCCTGAACCGATCATAATTACTCCTCAATGGATCGAGTCCAGACCGAACTGGTTCAGACTGGCATCCAGGCTATTATTTATGTGGAATATTTTGAAATCGTGGACGTTTGAAATTGTGTAGTGTATGGGTTGGGGTCAGATAATATTTTGGTTTTTTTTTTTAAAGAAATGAATACTTAATTAAATTTATATTTAGCAAGGATGCATTAAATTGATCAAAAGTGACGACAAAGAAATCTTTCTAAGTAATTCTATTTCAAATTAATGCTTTTTATTCCTCAAAGAATTGTGAAAAACATTGAAAATAAGACATGTTTCTTAAGCAATAAATCATCATATTAGAATGATTTCTGAAGGATCATGTGACACTGAAGACTGGAGTAATGATGATGAAAATTCAGCTTTGACGTCTGTTGTGGAAATTTTAATCTCACATATATTATTGGATCTTATGTCTCATTATTTCCTTATTATGTTCACTTTCTATATGTAACCACAGAGGAATGTCTTATGGGATGGGGGAAGTGATTTGTTCTCCCTTATCAGGAGTGCAGCTAGGCACCAGAGGACCGGCCGGGTCAGGGGTCATCTTAGATTGGGAGGGGGTTAGTAAATCTAACCTGGCATCATGAATCCTATAACTTTGTGGAAATTTACAGAGAAGGCTCGGCTTGCAGTAAATAACCTTGGGGAGGGCTATTTAGTCTTCACCCCGGCCTGTGTTCTGGGCGTCACTCCACTTCGCAGTAATCTGTGTTGGTGACTGAGCCTTATTGTTCTTGCAAGAATAATAAACCTTTTCCTTTATTAATTTGACTCAGAGTGTCTCTTACGAAGTGATGTCTGTTTATTGAATTTTTGCCTTAACACGTCACAGCAATAAATTACATTTTAAAATATAGTAAAATAGAAATGTTGTGTTTTTTTTTACTGTATTTTCGAAATCTAATAGTCAGCTTTGATGAACATAAGGGAAGTCTTTTAAAAAATCTTGCCAACATCAAACTTTTGAACTGTAGTGTGTATATATATATATAAAAAACCTAGACGTAGGTAGTGATGTATAAGCTATGATTTCCTAAACCTTTGTGCTTTTTCATATGTTTGATTTGTTGGTAACACTTTATTTTACAGTGGCCTTGTTACTTATATTACATGTTCTTACTGTAGTAATAATAACAGCAAGTTTTGCATAATTACATGTAGCTAACACACTAAACCAAACCCTATAGCAAGTACATTTGAATTAATATTACTCAGTACTTAAATGGGACGCCTTAATAAAGTGTGAATGATTTGTTTTAAAAATTTGTTTTGACGATTGTTTTAAAATGTAATAGTAACAACAATGAATGAGTGTTAATGTCCATCTAGCACTTTTAACTGCAAGTGTTTGATCATTGTTCATCTTTGTTGTTGTGTTTAGATTTGAGAAACGTATCTACATCCCTCTGCCTGAAGAGCACGCTCGCGGGTTCATGTTCAAGCTAAATCTGGGCAGCACGCCTAACTGTCTCACCGAATCAGACTTTATGACTCTGGGCAAGAAGACGGATGGTTACTCTGGTGCTGACATCAGCGTCATCGTCAGAGATGCTCTCATGCAGCCCGTCAGGAAGGTTCAGTCTGCCACTCACTTTAAACGGGTGAGTCCTGCCAGACACCATCACAATGGATTAAAAGAAAACTTGTGAAATGTGTCATATTAAAGGGATACTCCAATTTTTTTTGGAAATAGGCTCAATTTACAACTCCCCCAGAGTTAAACTGTTGAGTTTTACCGTTTTTGAATCCATTCAGCCGATCTCCGGTTCTGCCGCTACCACTTTTAGCATAGCTTAGCATACATCATTGAAGTGGACAAGACCATTAGCATTTCTCAAAAAAAAAAAAAAAAAGAGTTTTGATATTTTCACCTATTATTTAAACTAACTTGACTCTTCTGTAGTTACATCGTACACTAAGACCGACGGAAAATGTCAAGTTGGACTATTTTTAGATGCTGTGTCATATCATTACGCCTGCTGCACTCATGGTACGGCAGTAAAGTTTCTTGATTATTACGCGGGAATTAGAGTATAGTTCCTAGCCATATCAGCCTAGAAAACACAATTTTTCATTTTGTGTCGGTCTTAATTCACGATGTAACTACAGAAGAGTCAAGTATTAAATAGGAAAAATATCGGAACTCTTTGGTCATATTTTTTTTTGAGAAATGCTAATGGTATTGTCCACTTCAATGATGCATGCTAAGCTATGCTAAAAGTGGTACCGCCAGAACTGGAGATCGGCTGAATGGATTCAAAAGTGGTAAAACTCAACAGTTTAACTCTGGGGGGAGTTGTAAAATGAGCCTAAAAGTGGAATATCCCTTTAATTAATTGAAAATTAATTACCCTCCATTTCTAACTGAAACCATTTTTTTGTTTCATAAGGTACGAGGACCATCAAGAGATGATCCAAATGTCTTAGTGGATGACCTCCTAACCCCTTGCTCCCCAGGTGATCCACAGGCTATAGAAATGACTTGGATGGACGTTCCTGGAGAGAAACTTTTGGAGCCAATTGTTTCCATGGTAAGCATGTTTTTAGTTCTCTTTTTCCCCCCCTTACATCATCAGTACACATTAATTGTGATTATTGGTGGTTATAAGAAAAAGTTATGCTGTGCTGCAAATTTCCAGTGTCAAGCTACAAAAGCAGCATGCATTAAATTGAGCATCTTTAAAATGTCAGTAAAGTCCTTTATATTGTTACAAAATATGTCTATTTCAAATAAATTCTATTGATTGAACTTACTGTTCATAAATGAATCCTGGAAAAAATGTATCACTGTTTCCACAAAAATGAGAAGCGGCACAACTGTTTTAAACATTGAAAATAATAAATGTTTCTTGAGCATCAAATCATCTTATCATAGTAAAAAAATAGACAAATTATTTTAATTATATAATAATAATATAATAAGAGAATGTACATCCAATTCCAGTACATTAACCCTTATGTATTATATTATTATTATGATTAAATATGACTGTTTATACTGTATTTTTGATCAAATAAATGCAGACTTCATTCAAAAACATAAAAAAATCTAACTAAGCCCAATCTTTCCAAATAAAACTATATAACAAATATACAGTATACACTACCAAATGGTAGTTTTTATATGTGTGTATATTGACTATTATGCAGTATCTTTTAATGGTTGGACCAAACAGAATAATAGTATTTATATAAAAATATTCTAATAGAAATAATAATAGTAGTGTTTATTAAAAAAAAAAGTTCAAGTAAAAAAAATAAGAAGGTAGTGATACAATGAATTTTATTTGATTAAAAACTAACTTGTGTAGATTTGCAAGAATGTTATGTTGCTTTAATCATCGTTCTACTCTGCCCGTGCCCACAGTCGGACATGCTGAGGTCCCTCACCAACACAAAGCCCACCGTCAACGAGCAGGATCTGGAGAAGCTGAAAAAGTTCACAGAGGACTTTGGACAGGAGGGCTGAACAGAGCCGGTGTCCTGAAACCAAAGCAAACAGAATGTGATTGTAATGTCTTATCTCTTGCCCTTCACACGCCCCTCTCCTTTTGTACCCATGCTCTTCCTCTGTCCGACGGACCCCCTCAGCTCAGGCTAAATGCTAGATGTAATTTGAAATGTGCATCTTTTCAAGCCCACCTCAGTTGTTTTTAATGGCGGCTCTGCCTGCAAGGCTGCCATCAGTACCTTGTGACCATCATGCACCTTTCATCTTTAATTACTATATGTCTATGATTAACAGTCAGAAGGGCCTACAACAAATGGCCTGTAAAACAATTAGCAAATGTAATGAGTTATTACGTATACCCAGTGACTAATCGTTTGAAGAAATACTAATGTAACTCTTGTTTACAGTCGCATAAGTCTGTATGGACAATAATTAAGCTCCATGGCGCATGAAGACTTTTCAGCCCCATCTTAAAATGTTTTTGCTGGCTGTGCTTTGTAGAAGAACCATTTAAAGTGGCTCTTGTTTGTTGCTGCAAAGACATCTTTTTAAGGGTGCTGGTTGTGAGAGTGGTCTTTTTTTCCTTCTCGTTTCAGAAAGTCACCACATTGAGATCCCCATTTAACAATTCAGGCACTATTTACAAATACTACATATGTTTTTGTCTCCATGTACAGCATTACTTTCAGTATATTACTGTAAAACGTGAGATTTCTTCACTGAGTTATGAGTTACATTATATGTTCTGGGGCCAGCGTTGGACGTTTGTAAATTCACTTGCTGAGGCTCAGCACACGATGTGCCTTTTTTGCATTTGCCTCTTGTCTCTCTGTCTGTCTCTCTCAATCTACATACACAGATTCACACATATTGATGGATATATACCTGTTTTTATAGGCAGACTGTTTGGGAATGATTCAATGATATTTGCACATTTCATTTAAAACTTTACAACTATATATCAATCTATATACAGCTCCTATGCATTTATAGGGTGTTTGGTTTGCCATTTAAAAATACCTATAAGACAATGTATTAGAATATCTAGTATAGAAATGTTTGGTTTGTTTTAAGGATAAGGCCTGTTTGACAGTTAAAAGGGGGTTGTCTTGTTCATTTTATTATTCACATGTAAATAAAGGTTGAAATGGAAATAACTTGGCTTTTGTCGTTGAAATAACAGTCAATCAAGATGGTAGTAGTCTCTTTTTTGACAGAAATTTGGCTTATAAGTCTTTAAATGTCTTTATAATGCTTTAAAAAAAAAAAATTCCAAGACTATTTTACCTTAAGAAAGTGATTGTCATTGACGGTTTATGAAAAGGATGTTATTATATTCTTTATAATGCTTTTAAAAAACATTTCAAGACTATTTTACATTAATTAAGGTGACAGTTTATGAAAAGAGTGTTGTTATATGTCTTTATGATGCATTAAAAGAACATTTCAAGTGACCGTTATTGACAGTTTATGAAAAGCGTGTTGAACTTTGGAACTTGTAGTCTTTTTCTGAACTGGGCGGGGTTAAGCGGAGGTTAAAAAAACCACAACTCCCATTATTCCACCGCCCAAGTGCAGCATCATCCCGTTCAAAGTGCATAGATTCTGTGTTTTGGTTCAGGTAGTGAACGGAAAGAGTTAGCTTTTGCGGTTTTACGACTTCAACCTAGTATTTAATCTACAGCACAAGCCTCTTGCACATCACCATATAATATAAGCCCATAAACAGCTCACCCGAAGGCCTGTTATCTTCTGTCCGCGAGACAGGGGAGTGCCTGAAATAGGACATTTAGCTTGTGAGCTAACGTCATCAGCATCAGGTTGACCCATGTCCTCTGAGAAGGCTCTCGGCTCCGCGCTCTCACACTGGCTCTCCTTTAACTCCTGGTGGCTGCTTCTGCCTTTCATTATGCTCTTGGTAGTGGCTGCTTTCATCGTGGCCTTCGTGCTGCTGCTGTACATGATATCCCCGTTAATAAGCCCCAAACCTCTCAAACTGAACGGGGCCCATGTGGTGGTAAGTTCATATAATTCTATTTTTAATAACAGCATACCTATTTTATAACATTAGAAGTATCAAAAAAATGGTTGCCTTCCGTATATTGCAAACGCATAATAATGTATTATTTGCATTAAACATTAATTGTTCTAATCATAATGTGATTAAATAAATGCACTTATATGCATTATGTGTCACGTCATTGGAATTAATGCGCAATGGACCAATGCAAATGTGCATGTGACTTTTATTTGTCATCAGAGGGTGAAAATATTTGTTATGGCTTCAATTTGTAAATGCATAAAAATATTCATGTTATAGCTTATGTTTCTCACAGGTGGCCAAATAAATGCATTCTTGTACTGGTTATGCAACCATCGGTTCCAGGGCAATGGACCTTTTCAAGCGGGCATTGCATGTTTTTGCGTTTGCAAAGGTTCATAGTTTATCAAGAGCTCTGACTTATCTAGTTGTAAATGAACCACATGTTGAGCTCTCTGAAAATAGTAGATTTTTATCTATTTTGCGATTTCTTAAGGTATTTCGCAAAGCTTTGTTTATGAAATGCTTGATTTTAATTTTAACCATTGTTTCTTCATATCTTAAAAGTAGTTGGGCTATAGAGAGATCAAAATTAATTCATGATCTCACACTTTTTTCAGCAGCCGTTATTTTATTTTTCCCATTCGTGTTCTTCATGCTTGTGGACGAATTTTAAGCCATGAATAAAACCATCCAGTTCCCCGATAAATAACACTAATCTCTTAGTTAAAGTGATAGTTCACCCATAATTGAAAATTCTGTCATCATTTACTCACCCTCATGTTGTTCCACACCTGTATGAATTTCTTTCTTCTGTTGAACACAAATAAAGATATTTTGAAGAATGTTGGTAACCAAGCAGTTGATGGACCCCATTGACTTCCATAGTATTTCCCCCCCTCCATAGCCAATGGGGTCCATCAACTGCTTGGTTACCGACATTCTTCAAAACATCCTTATTTGTGTTCAACAAAAGAGAGAAGCAGCATGAGGGCGGGTAAATGATGACAGCATTCTCATTTTTGGGTGAACTATCCTTTTAATAGTAGAGTCTTGTACCGTGTATATTGTGAAAAGTCAGTTTCTCTAGAGGACATGAACAGGATTTTTTGTAATTGCAACCTTATCTGACTGTTGCACTGTCCACTGTTCTGGACTGAAGAAGATTATTGCTTTTTTATTATTTGTTGGATTTTCTGGTGCTTTTACCTGGTGAACTTGTTTATATGCTCTCTCAAAGCATATTTTAGTAAATGATGTGAATTGTGACTTGCTTGGTTTGTAATAAATCTGCTTTGAATATGCTGTCCATCATCAGGTGACCGGGGGCAGCAGTGGGATTGGGAAGTGCATTGCCATGGAATGCTACAAACATGGTGCCTTCATCACACTGGTAGCACGAGATGAGGTGTGTATATCATCTGTCAGTGACTGCATTATTATTATTATTATTGTCAATGTTGTAAACATAATATATATATATATATATATATTTATGAAACAGTTAGTTTCAATCCTTGATTCTGATTGGTCAATAGCTGTGCTTTATTCACGATAAAACACGGCTATGACTGCTTCACCCAATGGTTCTCTTCATCACTGCACAACACTGCAGTTCCTATGTTGTTTTTATTTGAGCGAACGTTGTTGTTGTTCACGGTCGGGGAGTATTTTTTTTCTAGCGGAAGGAAGGCTTTTAGTGATTTTACTTTATGAAAGTTGCATTAATACATATTTTTTTTGCTTTACTATTTTCATTGTGTGGCTACTGACCGTTTTATAAAAGCAATAAGGTACTCTGCTTCGTGCCTAACAACGCCCTTCAGCCGTCCCGTTACTTATTCACGATAAAGCACAGCCTCTCGCACCTTATTGCTTACCTGTAAACATAATATATTTGTGGAAAAAACATAGATTTTTTTTTCCCCAGGATCCCTTTATGAATAGAAAATAAAAAAAAACAGCATTTGTAATAGAAATATTTTTGTAACATTGTAAATTATCTGCGCTGAATAGAAGTATTCATTTAAAAAAAAGACAGAAATCTTATTTACCCCTACATTTTTGATCAGTAGTTTACATGATAATTAATCCTGCCTTTGGATGGTATTACATATTTGTTGTTGTTTGTGTTAAATTCTGAAAACCATGAGCCTGTGTGTGTTTACCACATGTTTGCGTACATGTCTCCCTACAGCAAAAGTTGGTTCAAGCCAAGAAAGAAGTGGAAAAATGTGCCATAAATGATAAGCAAGTGTGTATTTTTATTCAAATTATTTGGATATTTCACTCAAAATCAACTCAAAAATCAACTCAAAAATCTTAAGTGGGCTTAACATGTATTGTTATGATTACCTCTAGGTGGTGCTTTGCATTTCTGTTGATGTGTCGAAAGACTACAGTCAAGTGGAGAGTGTCATAAAACAAGTATGTTTATTTAGTTTAGCATATTATTCTATGTCAGCATTTAATCTGGTCATTGTTTTCAAACATAAACTCTAATTATAATTTTTTCTTCAGATGGCTTGCTATGATTGCTGACTGTTGCATGTTTGTGTTTGCTATCCAGGCTCAAGAGAAGCTGGGTCCTGTGGACATGCTGGTGAATTGTGCTGGGACGTCTATATCTGGGAAGTTTGAGGAGGTGGAAGTTGACCGCTTCAAGGTAAGAGCAGCATTTCATAGACATGTGCTTGGGCACTTTTGAATTAGGCTAGTACAGGCCTTGGAAATCGAAGAATGAACTGCTGTGGTGTCTTTTCGAACTATATTAAGTTCATTTCTGGAGTTCAAAATAGCTTCCTAAAGCAAACTTTCCAGGGAAAGTTCGCCCTGGCTGGTAAACACTTTCGAACTACTATTATTCTGCCTTAACTTGCTAATGGAAATGTCTTACTTCCCCGTCCTTAAGTCTCGATTACCCACTCGTCGCATTCAAGTGCTTTGTTGCTGGAAAGAACATGAATCATGGAGGATACCAGGTTTATTCTTGCTTATATATTGGGAAAATCTCTTAAGCCAAATTGATATTTAGTGTCCCATTCATTGACAACCATTTATACATTCACCACGCTATCTAGATAGTCAGCTTGCTGCCGATTAAAAAATTTCAGTCATATACAGGCTTTAAATTATACGCTTTAAATCAGTGTTGTAGTACTCGAGACTTGGACTCGTCTCGGACTCGGTCTCGAGACCATATTTTAATGGTCTTGGTCTTGTCATGGACTCATGTGCATTTGGACTCGGAATTGACTCGAGTTAAATTCAAAATATTTTTCATGATTATTAATGTATTGTAAGACAAAATGAAGTGGACGTCGAAGATCTCAAAAATGACGTTTATTTACAGCTTAGCAGTGGCAAGGCACACGAAGCACCTTGGGTTCACCGGCGTCAGAATGAACCCCGAACTCATCCCAGCGCAAACATTTTATACAGTATTACATCTGTCTTCCCCCTCAGCATGTAAATGAAGCTTTCTCTTAAATGTAAATCAAGACAGATTCGTCTTCTCTATCCGCGTGGATCTGAAACTCTGTGGTGCCTCCGTGTCTATGTCTTTGTTATTCCAAACTCTGTCTTTAAATGTAAATCGAAGAGAACAATGCAAGTGTTAGAGTGATACAGTCAAATGTTTAAAGGTGATAATATCTCTCAGAAACTCCCTAATCAAGATGGTTCTTGAATACCCACTGTCTTTCCCACTCTATAGGTGATAAACGTGACTCTGTGATACGTTTAAGATTGTAAGGAATTGATTCTATGATAAATAAGCTCTTTTAAGTGAAGGAACATTTCAATATATCTATATTGGAGTGGAAGTTTGATCGGAGCAGACTGTAATTTCTTACAGTATGTTAATAAAATATTTCTTTAAATAGATTGACACGCCTAGTGATTGGTGATTTTCTAGTGCACAACTGCGCATGACAAATTGTAATAAAATTACTTTTAACACCACCTACTATGTGGCCTTTTTACCCTAAACTGATCATATTTTTTAAACTCTAAGTAAATTCAGTCAAATAAAAAGTAAGTAAGTAAAGTAAGTAAATAAAAGTAAATTAGGTAATCAACCCTCACTGGTCTCGGTCTCGACTCGGACTCGACCAT